CCGATGGCCCACTGACAGCCCTCCACCATCTCTTTCTTTTTTTTCTCCCCTGCTCTTTCCTCCTTTCGTCTCAATCCTCACACGTCCTCCGTCGTTTCCCTTTCTTCTCCTTCACTGTATGGGATCTCAACCTTCTCTTTCAAGATCACAACAAATCTTTGTTTTACGTCTTTACTTTCTCTCAGTTTATTTGATGTTTGCCTAATCTTACTTTCCTCTCCCCCGTTCACTTCTCCCCCTCACGTCTGGCCTTTAATAAGCAATTCAACCATTAATTAGAGCCTCGTTAGCAGGTGGTTAATACACGGGGATCATAATAATGAGCGCACAGATAATGGAAAAAGAAAGCTGCCGTCTCCTCCAAACAGAGATGCTAAGGCCCGTCTCTTGTAAAACCGCACACAACGGGGAAGTCGGCACGTGCGTGTTACTGTGTCATGTTGCACTTAGATTACAACAAAAGCACGATGTGATCTACAAGTGTTGCATGCTACAGTGCGACACAGACAGTAACCAATTCCTTAATCAACATGTCACCATGTATGTGAGCGTTTGGCCAGTAATTGAATCACATAAGAATTCTTCTACAGTTCTGATGTTTAATTTAGACACTGAGTGAACAATGTGGAAATTTTTTTTTTTTTTTTAAATCAAACACCTTTTAAGACTGAAATGATTTCCACAGCAGACCAACCAGCCATCAATTTTTGCAATGCTTCCTGATTTATCTCTGCCAGAAGTGAATGTCTTTATGATGCAAGCCAGATCTGAGTCTGTTTGACTTATAGGAGTGGTGCTGTCTTACTGAGACTCACTGAATACTTAAGGTTTTGATATGCGTCTGCATCCGCAAGTCTGCTAGGGTCTGAGTGATTGAAATTTCATCATTAGACGATGAGCAGAAGAGTCCATGTTGATAAAAACTCTTTGTGATGGAGAGGACTTGCCCACAGAGACTCAGTTACAATGCAGTAACTGTCCATGTGCCCTTCAGAGGAAGCATAACGGGAAGTACTACTCGGGTGTCCCTGTGCCTGTGTGCAAGAGTATACTATAAGGCTTTAATGAACAGAGTTAAATGTACGGTAGCTGATAATATGCTAGCAGCAGACCTCTACTGACATCATATTTTTTGTTGACGTCATATGCCAGCGCTTTATCAATCCCCTTTGGGGTTGCAAAGAAGGGCATCCAGCGCAATAGTCTACCAAAGCAAGCATGTGGAGCTACCTGTTGTGGTGACCCCTTGTGGCAGGAGAGGAGCTGAAAGTCACTTTTTGAATGTCAGCACTTTACCAATTTCACACAGGCCTCAACAGCTAAAACATTTTCCTGCACGTCTCTTTTCCTGCCAGTTCTCGCCATATGTCCTTACACTTGCCCCATGATGACATGAAACATTGGTAGTGGTACTGAACTTGTTGTAGGGTCGAAAGCATGATTCACAGACACTGTCACCCAGCACAGTGAATGATGAACTTTCCCTGAATGTGATTTGAAAGTTTCTTTTTCATTCAAATGTTGCAGTTACAAAGTCCAGGGACATAAACTCGTGTAACGCTTGCTAATTTGGAGTTGTATGGCGATGCCAGTGATGTTCTTTGGAGTCAGCACTTAATACACTGGATGACATTTTAATATTATTATCATTACTGCTGATATTAGGCACTTCCACAGGTCTCTTTGCTGTTTTATCATTAAGTCCTAACTAATCTAGTACACGGCTGAGATTGTATAAAGTTATGAATAACACCTGCAATTATATTTCAATAACTGATGTTACCAATTAGACATTTTAATACATAAAGCCCTGATATTTTGTAAAGTATAATTGGAATTCGTCCAAACGGGGCTGCATGGCGTCAATGCGTTAGCGCGGTAAGCTTGTTAAAGCGTTAGCGCCGTCCAGTCCCTCGCTAACGGAGATTTGCCACATTAATGCGGTTATGGTGTTAACGTCATTTTGACAAGATTAATGCTGACAGCACTAGTAATTTAATAAATAATCCAGCAGTAAGAAGTCGCTCATTCAGGTGTCACCTGTTTGTAAAATTTAAATAGTTTTATTTAAAAAAAAGGTACATTTAAAAGTTCTTTTTAAGGATCAGTGGAAACATTGGTTATGGAAACTTTCAGTAAGCAAGACTCAAGACGGTATCAAATTCATTTGAATAAATGTCGAGTGTCAGTGAATGTTGAGTTGTTAGGTCAGTTTCTACTGTACTTCTTAATGCTGTTGCATTAAAAAAAAAAACTTCCTGAAGTTTTATTGTATCATTGTATCATAAGAATGAGCGTAAGGGAAGTAAAGATATATCAGTCCAGACCGAAACTAAACAGGGCTTTGCTGATGTATCTGGACTCAAAGGACTACAGCGAGCCTTTACCGTTAATCACATATGGATAAAAATGACAACACAATAATTGAGTGTGGGGGCCGGACTAGTAATTTCATAGAAAACAGGTTGCTTTTGTGCACGTCTGAGCGAGGAGGGCCTGGGATTCCAGGGCCTGGAAGGAGAAGAGCTCTGAAGAGAGGCTCACGGACCTGCCTCTTTACTATATGAGACAGCTCCAGCCACAAACAGACAAGGTTGTGTTTGGAAATATGTCCTGATCCCAGACACAACAAGTCTTTTTAAAGTGAGCCACACCCAGTCAACTGCTACTTCAACTGTACTCCATTCAGCTTCTGGGAAGAAGAGGAATACAAGAAGCCGATTCCTTAAAAGAAATCCACATGGATCAGGGAAAAGGATTAACACATCTCTCTTTTTTTTTATTAATATAAAACATTACATTTTTTACAGAAGCAAAAGAGAAAAAAAAAGAGTAAAATGTTAAAAGAAATGTGGCAAAGTGTAAAGTTTAACAGTAAAAGGGATTGTCAGGAATGATAAAGAGGGGCTATGACTTAAAAGGTTGGGTGAAACAGAGAGATTTATAAGATTCAGCCAGACACAGAGCACACGAGCCACTTAAAGTCACTATGGAGTTTGCAGCGAGCCATAAAAATGACAGAGCACATGCATACAAACAGGCAGTGCGCTTTAACTAAAGAAAAGCGTCCCGTGTCTACTCTATAAAAGTGAAATCCAGACGAGGCTTTTTTAGAGCACGACGTTTACTGACATACCCCCAGTTCTGCTGGTGTAAAGATACTTTAGATATACCAAACACTGCAAAGACCACTGAGAAGAGGAACTGTGTGACTGCTGGGACTTTATCATCCTCTCTTAATAATGCATTATCAGGGATTGTAACATCTAGTCCTTTTACTGAATCAGAATGAACTATTAAAGTGGCTGGCACTTTGGACAGAAGCTCCTGTATTTTTTGTTAGTGGTAACCTCCATCATAGTTAATAGTGTATTTACATTTACTGACATAAAAAGTAAGTTCAGGTTTTTGTGAGGGTTTGGTTACTCAAAACGCTTCTCCTGCCAAGCATCCGTCCTGAGAAAACATTCCCAGATTGGTTGGTGAGCGGTCGCTTGCTGTTACTAAGTGAAACAGGTCTCAAAGAAATATACAAGAACGTCCTTGCCTGGTTGCCTATTGATTGTGTTGAAGACACCAACTTGTTTGCAAACACTTGCAAACTGCTTGTCGAAGCTGTAGTGAAACTGTGAACAGTGAGGCCCAAACTTCCAGAAACTACCCACCAACTAACTGAGGAACACACATTTTTCCTTAGCAACCAGAGGCTGACAACCTGTCTCTAGGACTTGTGACAAAAGTGTAATATGTGTTATAGCAGCTAAAAATGTAACTGAAAACAATAATATTGACTATAAATTCAGGTCTGTTAGTGAACTAATTATAGTTTAGAAATTTTAGGAAATATGTATTTTATAAAATTCCTTCCATTTTTTCTACTGCTTACTTGCCTCGCTTCTGTCAGTCTGCCCCAGAGCAGCTGTGGCTACAACTGTAGCTTGCCTCCACCAGTGTGTGAATGTGAGAGTGAATGAATAGTGGAATTGTACAGCGCTTTGAGGGCCCCGAAAAGCGCTATATAAATGCAATCCATTATTATTATTACTGTTCCCAACCTGGCTAAGAGACAGAATCTCTCCAGTGTGCCCTGGGTCAGGACTGGGATCTCCTCCCAGTTGAGCATGTCCAAAGCACCTCATCTAAGGCGTTCAGGAGGCATCTGAGTCACATGCCCAAACCACCACAACTGGCTCCTATCAGTGCAGACAAAAACTGGCACTACCCTGAGCACCTCTGGGTGACTGAGATCCTTACCATATCTCTAAGTCTTGGCCTAGACACCCTTTAGAGAAGGATGATTTCTGCTGTCTGTATCTAAAACTGTATTCTTTCAGTCCTTTGCCAGAGCTTCATACCCTTAGCCACAGGTGAGGGGAGGAATTTTAAATCGATTGGCTTTACCTCAGCTTTCTCTTTTCCACAGACAGTAAAAGTGTCTGTATCACTGCAGATGTTGCACCAATCTGCTTGTCAATTTCCTGTTCCACTGTCTAATCTTAAGCAAGTCTATAAGACACTTGAACTCAACTCATTCCCAACTCAAAGTGGACAATCCACTCGTTTCTATTTGAGAACCTTGGCATTGATTATTGAGGTGGTAATTCTCATGCAAACCACTTCCTACTCTCTCATTTTTAAAAATTATAACGCTCATTTGATTAAGTAACATGAAAGCAGTGTTTCTCAAGCTCTTTCGTCTCTATACAACAATACGGGGACTCATCATATCTGGTGTGTTCAAATTTAAACTTCCAACCCCAACAACTGTCACAAGACAGAGTCGTAACACTGCAGTATACCACTGAAAGCTTTAATAATACAGAGTACTGCTGGACCACACACCTAATAAATGGACACAAATGATTAAAGCTGCTTATAATGAGACCTGTAGAGAAGGGGCATGTGCCACCTTGCATACTTGGATCATAGAATGTGAAGAAATACCTGTTGCTCAGTGCTGAGTGATGTAATTATTAAAGTGTGTGGTTTCCAACACTGACCTTGTGGGTCTGATCGGCACGGTGGGTTACTGTCTTTCTTTCCTCTTCCCAGCGAGCACTGGCCTCTTTTAGCTGCTTCTCCATTGCCGTCTGCAGACGTATCGCCTCCTCCTTTGAGTCACATACAGACGTCTGTAGCTCCGCAATTAGCTGTGGGCAAGAAAAGTCAGGTTTTTGACTGATCCTCAAGTGTGTGCAGGACTGACAGAAACTTAACAGAAGTGGCAGTGACTAAATAAGATCATAACTTGGCTTGCTTGCACTTGGGAACCATTTTTTTTCCCAAGGCAAAAGTAAACTGGAAAGTCTAAGGAATTCCAAGCCTAAGGTTGAAAAAAACCGAAAAAGAAAACGATCAAAGAGAGAAAAGCCTGTTGCCAGAAGCAAAATGCAAAATACGTTCGCTTAACAAAATGCTGTTCTGATTCGTTTCATTTCACTGGGCTTGCAAAAAAAGACTAGTATCAGATGGAAAATGCATTTTGCATTTGCCATGGCTTGGGAAGGCAGTAACAATCACCTTGAAAGACCGCTTTTCCCAGAGTCTCATGTCTTCTTTTTTGTTTTTTGAGACGAGACAGAAGACACAAAGAAGAGAGAGAGAAAGCGCAAGAGTGAGAAAGAAGAGGGAGTTAAAAAGAAATAGACAGGAAGGAAAAAACAACTTCCTTTTTGAAGAGCGGAGTGACTTTGTGTTGGTGAACTTGCGGTGCACACCAAGATGAAAAGGAAGTGTCTTGGCTTTGAAAACCTCCAGTCAAAATTAACATTCTATTTAAGCCACTGTCAGAGAAAGGCAGAGGAAAGATGAGAGAAAAAAAGAGAGAGAAAGAGAGAGGGAAGGGAGAAAGAGAAAGAGGTGAGGAGGAGGAAGGAGGGTATTGCTGCTGCTTTGGGCTAGACAGATAATTGTTTACCATGTTCAAACCCTGGAGGACTAGCCCCGCTGGAATCTGCACATTGTGTGGGAGTATGGGAGCTAAAGCGGCGCGGGTCGACCACAGACAGAAAGAGACGGCAAGGGCGAAGGGGGGTGGAGGGGTGCTAGGGAGATTAGGCTTATTTAGTCAGTGGGACAGCCACATGAAAGCAACAAATGACACATCATTATGTGAACATCATTTCTGGTCATAATAATTATTTTGCAATATGGATTCCCTGCATTTGCTGGTCTTCAGCCCCGGGGCAGTGGCGGCACTCCAAACTAGTAAACTCAGCTGTCTGTCTTGTTACTCCTGTATATATATATATACACACACACACACACACACACACACACCATAGCACCTTTTTCACTCTCTGATAGGCAGCCAGGCCTTTTTAAGTCTATAATTGGTCTGGTGAGACTTGCCTATTTTCCCAGCCTGCTAGCATCTCTGTTTAGGGCTAAAGGAAGGCTTGCCTCCCCATGAACCTGAAGTATGGAAAAAAAGAAAGGAGGACAGAAACGAGTCTGTTTACCCACCTGTTTACAAACAGGTGGGTAAACAGGCTACCAGAGGAGAAAGGCTGCTCTGTAATGATACATGAAAAGAACACAAACACTTGTAAGTGCGAAAACTTGGTGGCTGATGCTTAATTTGAGTTGCCCGTTTCCTTTGATAACGATTCCAGTGATTTGACCCCGCCAGCAAAAAAACAGTGTAAACGATAGAACATTTCACTTATTGCCTCTTTGTTTGGTAACATTTCTGCCATAACTGCAGACGTTCTCCAACAAAGTGTAGCTGTGTTAGCCCCATAAAGCCTGAAATATGAAACAATTGCCAGAAAATTCTTAAATTTCATATCTGACTTTTAATTTTGCGACATTTTCTTAAAAAGTTGCTTAAAAATGCATGGTGTTATTTATTCATCACACTGATGATGTAAAAGTCTCAGAACCTCCCAAAAAACTATACCAAATATGACATACTTGTTGTTAAGTTACAGCTTTTAGGCACCATGTTTTTGGAAAAGAAAAAAAATCACGAAATTTAGGAAGACACAGAGATTCTGGGCCGGAGCAGTGTCTAGCTGTCTGTCTGAGGTTAAATACTATTATTTTTCTATTTGTATATTCAGTACTGTGTTTTGAGCTACGAGTGCACTTGTTGCCAAACGCATTGGTCTGATTGGTCAGAACTGTTTATTCAGAAAAATCAAGCTTGGTCCAACGAAATAAATTCTGCAATTTAATCAAGTGAAATCACGAGATCTGTGTGTGTGAACAGCTGCATTAAGAATAGGTGAGTGCAAAAAATATTTTCAATGCACATAATATTTGCATGAATTTGTGTCTTCAGTCTGCGCAACCTCCCAACCCTCCAGCTTAGGCTTGAAAAGATGAACAAACAACTAAACTTGTGTAAAAATGTCCACCAAAGTGGAGATAATGTATAGTGCTACTTTTGGCCAAAAGACATATCAGCATAAACACCTCATACTAACTGTCAAACACATGTGAAGGGGTGATGATTTGGGCTTGTTTGGCAGTCACAGGACCTGGGCACCTTGAATACACTTGAGTCAAATGTGAGAGTCCGAACTTCTACCTGATTCATATACTTGAAATGTGACGGGACCTTAAGAGAGCTGTGCATAAATCAATGCCTACAAACCTCAATGAAATGAAGCAACACGGTCAAGAGGAGTGGGTAAAAATTCTTCCACAAAGATGTGAGAGGCCGAAAAAGCCGTGCTGTTAAAGTTATTGCTGGTAAAGGTGGTGAGGCAGCTGAACAAACCTGATGAATGTAAGTCTTTCAACTTACCGGCTGACATTTGACTGGTGCAGCTTCGAGAGCAAATATTAATTATTATCCAAGGCTAGAAAAGATAAGGAGAATAATTGTGTGCAAATTTGAAGCCTGATAAAATGTTCTGACTTTTCAAACTGGAATGAAAAAGGGGCTGCAGAGAGTTGTGTGAAAAGCTTTTCTTTTCGCATGACCGTATTTGCCAGCTAGATATTAATTGGCCAGCAAGTTCACAAAGAAACTTCAGAGCTTTTTTTTCTTTTTCCTAGAAACCAGTTGTCTCCTGCATTACTGGAAATGAATATGCTGAGAGTTGTGAAAGAGAGCAAAAGCTCTACTAACAATCAATACAGAAAAGAACCCAAAGTTTAAACAGTGCTGACACATTTCGATTTTGTTTTGATGTGAAAATGTCTCCAAAGGAATAAACCCTGCAGCTGGTCAGTAAATTCCTAAAAGGTCACAGAAAAGCACAGTAAAAGAAAGAAAAAAGAAACAAACAAACAAACCCCCAACATTGTGTTTAAATAAATGAAATAATTTTACATATTAATTTCAACCTGTCCTGAACCGTGCCGCCCAGAGAACATTCCCTCCACCTCCCACCTACTTGCGGTCAGGGATAAAGTAATGATCTATCAGCACCAAGACTACCACCCACTGTAACCTGACCATTAAGTGGGCCCTGTTTAGTTCACAGGTCACCCAGGAGGACCACTCGCAGCTAGGCGCTTAACACACAGGACTGGGTAGGAGACACTAATTAGGAGAGCTGTGTATGTATGTGTGTGTGTGCGTGCCTGATTGAAAGAACCAGAGCACAGAGACAAAAGCAGGGAGATAATATACAGAAGAATAGGATCTGCACTTCTGTGCGTATGTTTGTGTGTGTGAATGCAAAGAAACATACATATCAGGCCCCCTAGGATAATGCGTGGCATGGTATGTTTTTAATTGGGCTATTAGCTATGCAGCTGAGCTCTAGAGCGATGCTCCCTGTCAGACACTGAGGGGTTAACAACTGGGGTTAGCCTTTGAGGTTCAAAGACCTCTTGTTTACATTTGACTGAGTTGCTCCAAGGGCTGGGGGGGGGGAGGGAAAAAAAAAGCCTTCTTGGTTCCACCTTTACCTTTTAAAACAAAGTCGCCCAAGCCCACAACAAATGCTCAGAAATACTCACGCATATTAACATGTTTGCACAGAACCCACTCCTTTAGCATAACCTTTATGTAACCGCTCGCATCAACAGCGGTGTTGAGTTCTGCGCTCTGGGACCATCTTCTAATGTCAGCGAGAGTTGTTTGTTAAACTTATGCCAGCTCTGTGTCCCCAAACCAGAGGATTAATCACTTGTTGCTCGTCTGCGGCGGCCCTGCACCCTCCAAAGCGGGCAGAGGCTAAACTTTCGCACAGCACCCAACTCCTTTTGAAGTTGAGCATTGTGTAACCTAATAAGCTACCGTTTTTCCTCACAACATCTGCTTGTCAACCCCGCTTTCAACTCGGAGCCTCTGCCAACCAACCCGAAATGGGGGAGATTTAAAGAGGAGAAGAAAGAAAGAAAGAAAAACAACAACCTTCTCCTCCCCCTCGTCACCTCCCCCCCCCAGCCTTTTTGAATCTCCTCTTTGGGTAACGAGGTGCAATTACGGCCAAATGATTGTAATATTTTAGCCTGCTACATAATCAAGAAGAAACCACTTTTCTTTTTGTAATGTAAACACTACTTAGGGTGTTTTTGGATCTTTAAACTGGTGAGGTGAAAGCTGCCAGAACTTTCTGAGACGTCGTGCTGAATGGCAACGTGTGTCCGAGGAAGTTATATCTGTTTGGACAGAAGAATTAACTCGATTTCATGTGGCCTAAGGACACAAGAAGTAATGTTAAACACATTTCCTGGATTTGAAGTGTAGCCAGGTGATGGACAGACAGGTATGGTATATGAAAAGGACTTTCACCGATATGTTTTCAAGATGTTTCGCCGGCTTAACAGTTTGCTCGGGCTGTGTAGCTCCCATGAGAGAGCCGTAGTACACTTGGGGGCCGCGGCAGCATCACACAAAGAGCTGGACTGCTTGTGTTTTTGCAACTCTTTTTCTTTTTTCTCCCCCTTTTCTAAATCCTGGTGATTGTCCTGTGGGAGGAAAAATCTCTTAAGAGAGTGCCAAGATATTTTATACCCGGGGAATTGTGGCCACTGGGGGGCAGCTGAACAAACTTAAAAGACACAATTGATATATTAATGTTTGGCAAAAGTTTCCTGGATTCGTGTCTGATCACCACATGAATGTAAGTGTAGTGGTTGCACTCATTCCAGCCCTTTCAACTCATGTGTCGGTGTTTGATTGGTGCAGCTTTCAGAGAGCAAATATTAATTCTAATCTAAGGCTAGCAAAGATAAGGAGAAGAATTGTGTGTAAATTTGAAGCCTGATAAAAATGCTCTGACTTTGGACACAGGGATGAAAGAGGGGCTGATAAAAGTCAGATAGCAAAGCTTTACAAATTTCACTCTAATATGAACTTTCGCGCTCTGGCACTGACACGAATGTTCTGCGTGCACTTTCTCGTACATTTGCGCTCGTGCACATGTGCTTAAGAGAAAAGGCCATGGCAGCTTGCAGTGTGTGTGTGTGTGTGTGTGTGTGTGTGTCACCACCTTTCCCCCATCAGTACATTTTGTCTGTTCCATCACATAGTCGAGTAGAAAAACAAGAATATGAAATGAAAGGGCAGAAGTGAAAACTGATTACCTGGGCAGATTTGGCAAGCTTCTGACTGTACTCCCTCTCAATCTGCTTCAGCCTGCTGTTGGTCTGCAAGGAGAAGAAGGGAGAGGAGAGTGTGAGAAAGAGATATGCAGACGGGCAGGTTGAGGGACACAAAGAGAGACAGGGTAGTGAAATTCAATCTTCCGTTAGGAAGTGCACAGAGACACATTACCCTCCCAACCTAACCATCCTCTCACACACACACACTTTTGTGCTGACCTCTGCCTCTTGGCAGTGTGTCCCTGTTGAGCACGCCTGCGGCCCCTTGGCTCCGCGCCACTCCCAGCGCTCATGTGTGCCAGCAGGTAGCGATGGGCACAGTGCACAGTGGGCACCACTCCCCTTTGATCCCCTGCCAACAATTCATCACTTAACAAGACGAGGGGCTACGGTGAGGGGTGGGGGAATTAAAATGTTGCTGCCAATTAGCTATAGGGTAAGAAAAAAAAAAGCGAGGGAGACATTTGAGAGAAGCTGGGAAACTAAACAGGGCGGAGACAGAATAGAAATGAATGGCGATTGTTGCTGGAAGTTTAGTGAGCGTTGCTCGTCTCTTTTGTTTTCCGTTGTTTCTCTATGGGAAGCTAGCCAGCTGGAAGCAAAGGCTGTGTGTTTCTAATGCGAGATCTTTCTCCTTTCAGCTAGCTGTGTTGTGCTGCCAGAGTTTGAATAAGAGGCTGAACTGTGGAGTGAGATAATTAGGTGTGAAGTGCTGGAATTCTACAGGGACGTCAGTAGCGGCCTGTATGGACGTGGATGTGGTCCATACAAGTACTAAGGAAACACTAAGGGTTGAATTAATGGGGGACAGAGGTCATTACGTGAAGGCCAGGCAAAGCTTTTCAGTGGACGAGGATTAAACTTAAGTCTCACATTCTGCTGTAAAACTACAAAAACCAGCATTTATATGCTATATATTATTTAGACGCTTCAGTTGCTATGCCACTAAAAAAGGGGCCACAGTTTAATATATTTCTTCTTCTAAATTCCTGAAAAACACACAACTGTAAACCATCAGCCATGCAGAGATGTATTCAGAAAGTTATTCTAAACTGTAGTAAACATGATTCTCTCTCTTTTGCGCACACAAACACTTACTTGACTCTCCTGACAGCCACTGACAGACAGACAACTCATGAACAAACACTGCTCCGCTGAACACTCCCACTCACAGCCATCAACACCTGAGCTGCGTTTGGACTCCGCACCCCTTCCAAACACTTCCTGACAAACACGGCCGTCCGCTCTGAACGGACACACCTGTCACCACGGAAACACAGAGCCATCACCAAGGATACAAGCCCTGTCTTCCTGCGCCAGGACTCTTTGAGTGGCGGCCCGCTTGTCCCCAGCGGCCCTAAAGCAGCTGATGAGAGCGCGGAGGACAAAGGAGGGCGTAGGAAAGACGAGAGAATGAACTGTCTGTGCGAAAGGGAAACAAATGGAGTTCTTTTTTTTTACATTTTCTGTCTCAGCTCTGCTCCATATTGTGAGTGACTCTGTTATAATAACGAATATTTGTGTATTGTTCGTGTTCTATATTTAGAAAAATGAAAAAAAAAAGATGAAAGAAGAGTCTTAAATGTATCTATTTCTCCATTTACACATAATCGTCTCTACAGTTAATTTAGGTGATGTTTATACTGCACAATGTGAGACTGTAGGTTCACATGTACATGGGTTTAAATTTACAGTGTGTAAAATTTTCACAGCTAGACCAAGATTCAAGTTGACGTCAGTAAACTGCAAAGTGCAGTAAACTGAGTTGTGTTTTCTTGCCCCTCGAACATGTTTTCAACAGCCAAGAGATCAAAAACATTAAATTTAAACTGCACCCCATAATGGCCCCAGCTGGCTGGAATGTTTCTATTACTGCTTGGAGGCGATCCAGATTCAGTCCACTGTTTACCTCAGCTGTCAATGCTGGATGAGTAGTGTCCACCTTTATTTACTCAGGAGGAAGCCGGGAATCCTTGTCAAAGGACTGTAATATAATTTGATGAGTCCGTGAAACTCACTTCTGACCCACGACAGTCACACTGAGGTGAGTTGTTGAAGATATCCTGAACTACTGGTAAGCGCTGCTATTAGCCTCTGTTAGCTGCTGCTAACTGCCTTTAGTGAAACTTTCTTTGAAGTGGACTCATACACTTGGCGAATAAACTCTCATATGAATCTAATTAAACTGTTTATCAGAAGGAAAAAACTGAAACTGGTTAGCACTATTGCCTCAGCAAGAAGGTCCTCAGCAGGTTTTCCCTGTTTGTGTAGGTTCTCTCCAGGTACTTGGGTTTCATCCAACAGGTCAAAGATATGGGAGAGTGGGGTGAAGGTAACAGGTGATTTTAAATTGTCAATAGGTGTGAATGTGAGTGTGAATGGTTGTCTGTCTGTCATTGTTAGACCTGTGACAGACTGGCTACCTGTCCAGGATATATCCCACCTTTCACGGTGGGACAACTAGGATAGGCTCCAGCCCCCCGGCGACCCTGATAAGGACAAGTGGAAAAGAATAAATAGATGGATAAGAAAGACAAGTGAGATTTTTAGGACACTCAAGTCTAACATTAGCTGGTATGATGTTAGCTTGTAACCAGCTGTTGTGGTTTAGCTATTTCTTGTCAAGCGGAGACGGAGTGTCACATGTCTAATCTGCTGACAACAAGGAGTTGTGACAACACTGGGAATAAATAAGCATGTTTATGGACATTTTTGCCCTGACTTTATATTATGAGATGAGGCTTGAGATGTGAAGGAAGAGTGTGACATTTTACACAGATGCCAGTGGTGCTGTCTCTTTCCTTCGTGGTTTTGGTGAAGATGACCCCTCCCCCGATGATAAAACATAGATATGATCCTTTATAACTTCAGCCTGAAAATGCAGGTGTCTCTACATAAAATGCGATCAGTTGGAAGGGAGCTGTCCTACCTGGTCACTGTATTGAAATATAGTAAGGGAACATGGCAGCCATCACAAACCAATGCCAACCAACTCCCATTTATTTTTAATACATTAATTATAAGTTTGAGAATGAATCAATTTGTTGGAAGATCTAATTACACACTATATATCCTTATTTTCCATTAAATGACCTCAAATTACTGACTGTACCTTTAGCATGTGGTCATACTGACACACAAACAGGCTCAGATTTTTTATAAAATCACAAAGAGCTTGCTACTAACTTATTCCTTTTACCTGAAGTCACTCGGGGGATTTCAGCAGGAAGTATTATAAAAAAGTATTTAAAAAAAACTTCAAACATTATAAACCTCTACCATCTAAACACACATAAAAATGGACACGTAGAAGAAAATATGGATAGTACACGCAGTGAAAAATACCCCATTTGGACTGTGACAAATACAAAGGGAAAACAGTGCTAAATTAAAAGCCCATCCATATGTGTGTGTCTGTGTGAGTGTGTAAGAACTTTCAAAGAGAGTACCTGCGCCCTGCCAAAGGCATTTTTGCGCTGAAGGCACTTTGAGGCTGTATCAGGCTCTTCAATCGCCTCTTAATCCTAGCGGTGTGGAGTGCAGCTGCTTTGAAGTGTGTTCGTCTTTGTGTGTGTGTGTGTGTGCGTGCGCAGATACCAGTGTGTGCTAAAGAAAGTGGAAGTAGATCTGAAGGTAAGGCATGCACCGCTTACCAGGACTTAATTAATAATCTGCAATGGGAAGCAGGCCAAACACACACATAGACACGGGCACACATGGATACATGGGCACACTTAAAAAGGATGGGGACATGAGTGGCACAAAGAAAGCGAGGGGGGGGGGGACTTTCTCTCACACACTTAACGATACGCACACAAGTCACACTTATTCAAACAGACACAGCAGACAAACAGGATGCATGAAGGCCAAACACACATCCAGAGTTTGATCTATTGCTGGAAATGAGATTTGCTCAAGGTGTGCAATCCCTTTATTCACAACAGACGGCTGTATTCTTGCTAAAGGAGGAAGCAGCTAAGGTAAACACTTCTTAGTGTAATCAATGTAGTCACTGCATGGTAATGTTTGTGTCTTATAGTCAGATGCACAGTTTTCAGCAGTAGAAAACACATCAAATGTTCAAATTTTACTAAAAAGGTTTTTAAGAATTTCATACATGCAAAGCATTTCAAAAAGAAGTTGGGATGTGTTTCATCACCTCTCCTTAAAACAAAAATCTCAAAGTGCTTGAACTAAGGAAATCAAAAGCAAAATGGTATCCCATTCCCACAAGTACCTTTTACCTGGACTGTAGAGAAGCCAATTTAACAGCTGTACTTTCCTTTTTTTTTTCTTTGAAGCTTTGTTTTTGTGCAGAATGCAGTTTGGTATTGTTTTACTGAAATAAACAATGTCCACACTGAAAAAAAGCTACTGTGGATGACTGCGTAGCTTCTCCCCCCAAAAAAGGAAAAAGCATATTGTTGGAATATATTCCATGAACTGGAGCCTATCCTAGTTGTCAGGGGTAAGAGGCGGGGTACAAATTGGATAGGTCACAGTCTATCGTGGGGCCAACACAGCCAGACAATCATGCTCATTCACAGTCAAGTAATTTAGAATCAACCTAACCTGCGTGTAATTGGACTGTGGGAGGAAACTGGGGTACCTGGAGAGACTCTAAACAGGTACAAGGAAGACAAGCAATCTCGCTCTCTGCGACCTTCTTGCTGTGAGGCAACAGCCCTAACCACCACACCTCTGTGCACACTACATATTATTGGACATATTACACATTATTACGGATGCCAACGTCTAAACTCTTAGCACTGACAACAAGCGAGGAGCTCCATCTCACTAGAAAGAAAGTTTTCCAACTTTTGATTCTTCAGACCTCAGGAAAGTTTTCTGCTTTGCTACTATGCATGTTTGTTTTCTTTTGCATTCGTGCCACATTGTACTTATGGCAGCAAAGACAAACTATGTTCAGTTATTTTTATAAGAGTTCCTGAGTCCATGCAATGATTTATTTCTTTTTTGTTTTGCAGTACCGCCTGAGGACCAGATGGTCACAGACAGCCAATATTGGTTTTCAGCCTTGTCCC